GGAAGAAGATGGGACAGAGATGAAGATGAGGTTCTAGGTACAGATGGCCCCTCACGAGCCCTGAGGCCAGGAGGGCGGAACGAAGACCACAGAACAGAAGAACGTGTGGGCCTCTGGCTCTTCCCAGAATCTATCCCTGCTGGAGGCTGGATCGGGTTCAGAGAAACGACACGGAGCAGCAAGAACAGTGCTGTTGGTGGGAGCTCAGTTTTGAGGAAAATCTGCAGTGAACTGTCTCACTGTGGGTTCTCTGGAAGAAAGCTGTTTTTAGAGGAATTGGCTCTGCTATTCAGGGAGACCAGTGCACACTTCTCTGAGCTGCTTTGGCTTTGAAAAAAGTCTAAAAGAGTCTGCCAGATTGCTTTGCATGAGAGATAGACCTTCCTTCCCCTGAATGTTGGGGAGTGCAGAACCCCTCCCAAGGTTCAACAGCATCACTACCAGCTAAGGATTGCACATATAGGGAACAGAGAACCAGATGTGGTGCAAAGCGACGCTAAAGAGAAGGAGAAATCTGGGTTATATAGGTGGCTATGGACATGAGGTGGAATTCTTGATGGTAAAAAGAGAAGTCATGTTCAGATGTCTTTGGGATGATAAATCAGACACTTCCTGTGCATCTTGGGGTGCATACTACAGTTTCTACTCTCTGCTCCCTCTTTCTCATCTTTCAACCTCCCCCACCTGCTGGTCTTCTCTCATTGATAAGAGGATGAATTTTAACTGCTCAAAAGACTTGTAGGGGCTTCCCTGGTGGCGCAGTGGTTAAGGGTTCGCCTGCCGATGCAGGGGACACGGGTTCGTGCCCCAGTCCGGGAAGATCCCACATGCCGCGGAGCGGCTGGGCCCGTGAGCCATGGCTGCTGAGCCTGCGCGTCCGGAGCCTGTGCTCCGCAACGGGAGAGGCCACAACAGTGAGATGCCCGCGTACCGAAAAAAAAAAAAAAAAAAAAAAGACTTTTAGGCCAACACACAGATCCCCAGGCACGAGCTTCGTTGCCTTAAGGAACAAACAGGTTTCCTCTGCAAAGGTCTCTCTTACATGTCACCTCTCCCAGTATATAACCAGAGAATCTTGCCTCATCTGCTTTAACGCCTCAGCTTTATTTTATCACAGAGGAGAATGAGGCAAACACAGCAAGAGAAGTTCTAGGCAATCTGTCTGGTGGGTCGTGTGTGCCCGGTCAGCAGGGGCAGCCTTATTTCCATGTCTGCATACATTTGCATGAACATGAGCTATTGCCAGGCTCAATTCACAATGCAAGCGTCTAGCCTAATTCTTGAACCTGTTCTCTCAACCATAATCTTCAAAGAACTGACGGAGCTTTATGGAGGGATCTTACGCAGGTAGCTTCAGCTCCCGTGATGTGGTTTCCAACCTTTCTCACCACGCCTAATGTAAAAGTGGTGGTAGTAGTAGCCGCAGTTGTAGTAAAATAATACCAGTCACTGCTAACATAGTATATCCTACGTGCCAGACCCAATACTAAGCAGATGACAGCACATATTCATTTCACTTTCACACAAACCATTGAGACGGTACCACTAGCCTCTGAATTTTTCAGTTGAGTAAAACAAGGCTCAGAAACGTTATTTGCCAATGGCTGAAAGGCAGGGCAGAGCTAAAAGGTGGGTCTGCCTAAATTCACGGTCTACACTCTGAAGACCGTGCTTGTTGTTTGTGGCTGCTTATTTTTAGAAGTACTCTAGCTAGGTTGGCCATTCCCAGACTTCTAGATTTCATAGGCTAGGTGGTTACAGACCTCTTATTTTGTCAATTAAGGCAATCTCTGTCTGTCTATTATACATAACATTTATATATAGACTTATATTTATAATTATATAATAATAATTACACATGACTAAACACATATTTATATTACACACACATACTCATCCTTCAGTGGCCATCATTTTATAAAATGAAGAGTATTTTTAACAACAATGATAACAGAGTAAGGAAGTCTAGAAATTTAAAATAAAGGACACTTCTTGAAATGGAATATTTTTGCTCAATGCAAAAATATCACATTGTTCTTGTTATTCTTTTTTTTTTTTTTTTTTTTTTTTGGTTCGCGGGCCTCTCACTGCTGTGGCCTCTCCCGTTGCGGAGCACAGGCTCCGGACGCGCAGGCTCAGTGGCCATGGCTCACGGTCCCAGCCGCTCCGCGGCATGTGGGATCCTCCCGGACCAGGGCACGAACCCGTGTCCCCTGCATCGGCAGGCGAACTCTCAACCCCTGCGCAACCAGGGAAGCCCTGTTCTTGTTATTCTTACTTGACCTCATTTAAGGAAAAACTCAGTAATAATCAGACAGCCTTTCAGAAATAACTAGTCTAGCTTAACGTTCCTTTTAAAATTCAATGTCCAGGTGTGAGCCCAATGGCCCAGGTATGGTCTGGCCTCCATGGGTCGCATCTCCAGTGGGGACGTCTGTAATTTCTCTCCCCCAGACACCTGAGCTGTGTGCCCGTGAGGCCCAGGCTGGAGGTATAGGGATGTAGAGTGGGAGAGGCGGGTGGGCAGGCCCGAGCTCCTGAATCAGGGCAGGCGTGGGGACGGCTGTGGTCTGAGACCTGGTCAGCGGAAGGTCTGTGGTTGCCAAAGAGAAAAGATAAAAACTGGCAGATGGAAGGGGAAAGGAACAAGGCGGGGCAGAGAAAGAAAGCAAGGTGCTATGGGAATCTGAAATGAGATGAATGTTGGCAGGAATTCTGTCTTGACACCCTTGTTGGGAGGCCCAGAGTCCTACCCTGGCATGGATAGAGGGGATGGCTCTTGTAATGAGGAGCACAGGGTTAAATGGGTAGAGAAAGAGACTGGGCTGGGGAGGAGGGTGGGAAGACTGTGGGTGCAGAGAGGGAAAGAAGAGGGGGGTGGATCAAGGGAGGGAGAAAAAGAGATGGGGGAACGGTACAGAAAAGGCAGAGAGGAGGGACAGGTGTAGGGTGAAATGGGGGACGAAGGGCAGGGGGTGGGGATGGGTGGTACAGGTGTGAGGTCTAAGTGAAGTCCCAGGAAGGAAGGGCTCTCCAAGGCTAGAGCAAGGGACCACAAAGAGTGAAGGCGAGTCACAGTAAAGCGCAAAGGGAATTCACTGTTGGTTTTTGCTAAAAGAAGACTGACGGCTGAGTGAAGGTGGAGGAAGGTACAGAAGGTGTGGATTTCAGGGCCAAAAGAACACACGTGGCTGGCTAGCTGCTGCCTGTGGGAAGGGTGTGGAGGCATGCGTTGTGTCCACTGGGGCTGGGGAAGAATGTTTGAAAGGGAATCAGAGAAAAGCTGACAAAGCAACTGAAGAAAGAAGAAACAAAGGCTCCCCTGTTGCAAGTTATATGTTTCTTCTCATCTCAATCAGGGTGAAACCAAAGTCATTAAAATGATCCGGCCCCTCATTACCCCTCTGACCTCATTCCCTGACACTCTTCCTTGTGTTTTCTCCATTCCAGCCACACTGGCCTTCTGGTATACCAGGCACAGTCCTACCTCAGGGCCTTTGTGCATGCTGTCCCCTCTATTTGCAATACTCTCCTCCAGATAGCCACTTGCTTTTTCTCTCACTCACTTCTTTATTTTTCTCCACCGAACCTACCATCTTCTAACATAATATCTAATTCACTTTGTTCTGTTTATTGTTTGTTGCACTGTTCCCTCAACTAGAATGCAAGCACCATAAAGGCAGAAATTTGGTCTGTTTTGTTCACTGCTGCTCCCTAAGCACAGAACAATGATTGGACCACAGTGGGCTCACAATAGATGTTTGTTGAATGAATGCATGAATGAATGAAAGGGTCAATGGGTCATCTATTGGAATGCATTGGGAACAGAAGGGCATGCATAAGAGGAGAAAGAGGAAGGGGGGAGGGGAAAAGGGAGGAGGAGGAAGGAGAGGAGGGGGAGGGGGAGGGAGAGTAGGGAGAGGAGATGATGCAGCAGAGAGGTGAGGGAAATGTATACAATATCTTTTATTTGGAGGGATTTTATCTAATGATGTTTCTAGTTGGGGGGGTTCCATCTAATCATGTGTTTAATAAAGCCATTTAAAGATGAAGGTAGAAATGAAAACAGTTATTGTCATGTAAAGAGTGACCTTCAGGTCAATGTTCACTGACCCTCTACTCAATCCAGAATGAGACACCGGCCATTTTCTAACATATGAGAGAAGAGTGGACAAGATTAAGCTACGGGGACAAACAAATTTTACTGGAGTTTTGGATACCTGTGCACACACATAGACACACACAATCTTGTCTCATTACCTAAAGCTCTAATCTAGACGACAAAAATCTGATTTGAAATGATTAAGAGCTCAGTCTCTTGCTCAGTAATAGTAGCTGTGAAATCAGTTCATTATTTCTATACTTTCCTCCTCCACCACCATTTTATAGAAGGCTTGCCCTTCTGTCAAGGGCTATATTAAGTGCTTTACATGTGGTATTTCATTTAGTTTTCACAATGACCCGTTCAGTAATACTATAATTATCACATTACTATAAACGAGAATACTAGAGACGAGGGAGAGCAATTGTTTTGCCCATAATCACAAACAGCTAGTACATGGTAGAGCCAGGATATAATCCCGGGGTGACTCTAGGGCAGGGACTGGCCAACCTTTACTGCAAAGGGCCAGACAGAAGATATATTAGGCTTGGTGGGCTGTAAGTTCCTTTGTCACAACTATTCAGTAATGCCCTACAAGAACAGCCATAGGCAATACATAAATGAATGGGTGTGGCTGTGTTCCAATAAAACTTTATTTACAAAGATAGGTGGTGGACATACTTGGCCCATGGGCTGTCATTTGCTGACTGTGCTCTAGAATCTATGCTCTTGACCCCTGAGCCATCATACCTGGGAAAGCCTGGAAAGAGAGCAAAGAGATTGCTGAGTGCTTTCAACAGTCAGCTCTAACAGCCCAGCATGCCACCAGCCTGTGGGGGACTGGCTGAGACCAAGAGGCGAACTCGCCAGGGACAGAGGGCGGCAGACAGGCACTTACATTTCAACGATGCCCTCTGGCAAGTTGGCGGGGATCTCCATCAAGCCCTTCCCTCGACAGTCCACGATGTTATTACTGCAAGTGCAGGCTGAAGGGCAGGAGATGGAGTTGGCATTGCAGGATGGAGGCTCTGAGTGCGGCCCTGTGGGATCAGAACACAGTGGTCAATTCATGTCAGTGTCAGCAACCGCCTGGGCTTTTGTGTCCCTTAACCAGCTTCCCAAGGAGGCAGCGTTACCTGATCAGCTACCTGAAAAATCATCACCAGCTAACATCGGCCCTCAGCTGGGAGACACAGCTGCCGCTGGCTAAACATTCAGCCAAGAGGAGAGAGTCTACCCGTGACCTGACCATTTCTAGATTGTTCCACTTGCTCTGTCATCCCCTCATCCTTAGTCTTTCAGAGACAGAGTTGCTCTCAGAATCAATCACACATGAAGATATGCCACTGGTATGCAAAGAGCATACACTGGGACTACTTTTTCAGGGAGTCCAATGTCTGAATGACATTCCAGGGTTTTGGGCTTTTATCTGGGGCTTGGATACCACATGTAGACACACCTTCATTTCTTTCTCAAGTGGCTGGAAATCACTATCAAAACCAAGTGGGAAGAGAAAAGGTGACAGAATTTCCTCACTTGGGGCACTGATGTTGCCCAAGTGTCAACAGAGCCATCAACAGCGACATCCAAGGCCTTTTCAAACAGCTTTTATGTCCAAAGAACATGCAGATAAAACTTATCTCATTAGAAAAAAAGTGAATAAGTTACTACATATTTTGGAATCTTAGTTTTTGTTTGTTTGTTTGTTTTTGTTTTTTTGCGGTACGCGGGCCTCTCACTGCTGTGGCCTCTCCCGTTGCGGAGCCCAGGCTCCAGACGTGCAGGCTCAGCGGCCATGGCTCACGGGCCCAGCTGCTCCGCGGGATGTGGGATCTTCCCGGACCGGGGCACGAACCCGTGTCCCCTGCATCGGCAGGCGGACTCTCAACCACTGTGCCACCAGGGAAGCCCGGAGTCTTAGTTTTGTTTGAGGTGAGAACCCATATGAATTTATCACAAAGTGGTAAAAAACCCAAGAAAATGGCAAGGAAGGAGCTTATTTAGAAAGCTGAATGAAGATAAACATATTAGCAAACTAACTCAAGATTCAAAGAGTCATAAGAATCTTAATCCCTTTCTCTGGTGGTCACACCAAATTGCTAACAGAAGTAAATTCAAACATCTTAAAGACACTGTATAACAGCTATGACTGTTTCTTCAAAGTAAGGTAAGAATCGCAAACCTGTGGTTAGTCTTTCAACTGTGGACACTGTGGTCCAAAAGGTAAACTCAACCCAATGGCCTTCTCAGGACCTTATCCCATTCCTGGGGATCCAGCTAGCAGGGATGATTTCAATGTCTTTCCAGATCCACCTCCCTGAGCAAAGGGCCATGGGCTGAGACCAAACTCAGGCTAACTCTGCAAACATCCTCACTGCTCAGACATGGACCGTCTGGCTGGGGACTCTTGGAGAGAGATTAAATGTGAAGCATGGAAAATATCTGTAGGCAAAGATGATTTTGGTTTGGCCCCTGGAGAGGCTGAGGCTGGGAAGCCAGAGCGAGTCTAGCTACAGTGGTAGAATCAGAGGACTGATCGGGCCTGGGGCAAGTCCTCGTTTGGACAGTGAGTGAGCCTTAAAGCAGAGGCTCCCCTCTCCACGTTCAGCAGTCCCTATACTTGGGGGTGGTCCTTCTGCAAGACTCAAATCGATGCCTATGGCTTAATCTGGAACATTTACTTTGCCAGAAAGTGCAACCCAGTGACCAAAGATTCTTACTTCCCTTGGCCTCACTTTCACACACACACACACACACAATTTAAAAACATCCTCTTAAGTGGAACATTCGAGCAAATATTCTTGTCTAGGGTACAAGGACTTCAAACTCTCCAATGTCACACTAGTGGATCTAACAGAGACCATGGAAAATGCCAGAGAGATGACAACTTACATTAAAATTCACAAGTGGAACATTCTCTGAGAGAGAGGTGATGCTGGCTTTGTTCCAAACTGGGCAAGTTTTTACATTTCTGAGAAAATGACAACCCCAGAGAGCCAGCCTGTAAGAACCTCAGATCAGGAATGAGACTGTTGTGGCCAAGAGTGTGGGCTCTGGAGTCCCACCGGCTCAATTTGAACCCTGGTTCTATCCTATCATCCTTATGTCCCCGTGCCTCAGTTTTCCCTACCTGTAAAATGGGGAAAACGACAATACTTACTTCATAGCATGGCTTTATTGCTAAGGCAAAGGAAATTAATGCATGTAAAATATCAATATTTAGAAGGGGCATTGGCAAAGAGTTAGCGCTTAGTCGTGTTATTTGTTATTGTTTTTGTTGTTATTATTATTATCATTATTTTTTGGCTGCACCATGCGGAACACGGAACTTCCCAGACCAGGGATCGAACCCTCGCCCCCTGTGGTGGAAGCATGGAGCCTTAACCACTGGACCACCAGGGAAGTCCTGTTGTTGTTATTATTAATAATGGGTCTGGCTCTGCCACGAATTGTCTACAAGACCTCAGGCAAGTCACAGTACCCCTGCCCCCGAGTTTTACTGCTGCCATCTTGGTGAAGTTTGGACTGCGTGACTTCTGAAGTCCTTTCTGGGTCTAGAGATCGACTGCTGTTCTTCAGAAAAATGGAAGCAGAAGGATCAGAAGGCACCTAAAAGCTTTCCCTCCTCTGCTGCATCTCTTTGCAGGTGGCAAAGAGGATCTACAGTGGGCAGGGCTCGCGTCCCCTCACCTGCATCCTCCCAAGGAGGCTGGGAGCGCCAGGACTGCAGGCGTCAGGGCTTTTGAAGTGTAGATGGTGCTCCCCAAAGAAAACTGCCATGCCTGGCCCTGAATATCAAGGGGCGCCGGTGCCTGACCAGCCAGGGAGACACGCCACATCCCGCACCTTACTGGATGGGAAGCATCAGGGGCTCCATGGAGCCCTGAGCCTGAGCACTTGTCTTTCCATCCACTGGGGCACAGGGTATCAGAAGGCCATCCCTCTTTTGTTCTGTCAAAATATTACTTAATGGGGTGTGTCAGAAAAGAGCGGAAGAAAGGCATTATGTTTTAGGGCTCACATGGGCAACAGAAAGTTCTGAAATGGAGTTTCTTCAAAGGTACCCCTTCTGACTTCTGTGCTGAAATGAATTCTGTTTCAACCAGACCCAGGCTGCAGCCTTGAGTCCCTCTGGGAACGAGCTGTGTCTTTCACAGGGTGGCTCTGATTTGGAAGAAAGGGTGTGCTACATTGCAAAGGATGTTGTCAAGGCCAAATAGGATTTGAAGAGCTTCCTTAACCAGGTCACTAACGACACCTTTTATTACGCAGAGAGAAACAACAGTAATTATAGTCTCTGTCAGCATCCCGGGCTGGCAGCTCCCCAGCTAGGTATTCACACATGGCAAGGATGCTACCCTCTGGTTGAAACAAAACACTTCAGGTTTAAGCCGGGGTTGAAAGATGAGTTTGTTTTCCCTGGCAACATTCCCCCTTAATCAATGCTGGAGGAACCAAGCCTATTTCCCTCTGGGTCTCTGAGTCCTGTGTGGTGGGAGTCCTTCCCCTTTGCTTTCTGTCTCTGGACAGAGACTAGCATATAAGTCCTACAAGGTCAGTGACCTTTTCTGTCTTATTCACTATTATATTCTCAGTGCCTAAAAGAGGGCCTGGCACAAAACACTCAATAAACACACCTTGGGTGAGTGAGAGGATGAATACATGAATGAAATTGCCCCAGAAGCCTTAGAGACATGGGGACTGAATGCCACCAAGCTACGGAGGTGAACGATTCTTCTGGAAGGACCGTGAGGGGAGGTGCCCTGAGTTCTGAGTGCCCTGGGCACTGGTCCATAGCATCAGCCTCAGAGTGGGGAAACGGAGTGGAAATGGGTAGACAGGACTCTCATGACTGAAGCTCAGGTCTTTCTATCACAGCAAAGGCCATCTGTGCAGTCCCCTGAGGCCCCCTCTGAGCCTAGCTCACCTGCACAGGTCAGGTGTCCTAGGTCCTCTGTCGACCTCTGTCAGCAAATCCATCCCTCCCAGCCTTTCCTGTCCACACACATTGAGGCTAAAGAGAGTGACGCAGGAGACAGTAGATTTCCAAGGGGGACAAAGCGAGGAAACACCTACCTTTCTACCCAGAAAATTCTATGACTACAAGCTAGGAAGAAGAGAGGAACGCGAGCAGAGTTTTTATACTGGGGTAGAAGGAGTCTCTGCGCCTCCTTGATGGAAAGGGTCTCTCTAGGTGTGTGCCTACCTGCATGCACGTGTGTGTCCCTGTTGTATAATGCGTTCTCAGGGGGGCTAGGTATCCTCATGGTCCTCGAGGGAGCCTGCCGGCTGGTACCACTGCCTCTTCTCCCTGGCACAGCAAGGGCCTTAAATCAGAGCGCATTGATGAACCGGCAAGCAGACCCCCTGTCATGTACTTTCTAAGACGTTCTCTTATAAACTTAGGAGTGCATGTGGGCTTGTTCTTCCTTTCTTCATTTTAAAATAAGTGCCCAGGGGCTTCCCTGGTGGTGCAGTGGTTGAGAGTCCGTCTGCCGATGCAGGGGACACGGGTTCGTGCCCCGGTCCGGGAAGATCCCACATGCCATGGAGCGGCTGGGCCCGTGAGCCATGGCCGCTGAGCCTGCGCGTCCAGAGCCTGTGCTCCGCAACGGGAGAGGCCACAACAGTGAGAGGCCCACGTACCGCAAATAAAATAAAATAAAATAAAACAAGTGCCCAGGTTCTCTGCTCTCAGAACTCTTCCATTCCCAGTGCTAAAATGCTACTGCCCTGGGGTGGAAGGATGTCCTGATCAGAGTAGGGAGATGGGGATGTGGGCCGAGTACCTGTCTCTCTTCTGGGGGCCCATCTCACCTTTCCTTAATCACTGCAGCTCTGGAATTTCAATCTGGAGCCAAAGCCACCTCTGTGCCTAATAAGGAGGTAGCTGAGATGCCCAGCCTCCCTTCAGATGTCTCCTAAGACTCCCTGGACTGTGGCCTGATGTCTGGAGGGAGGGCAGAGCAGAGCTTGGGGGGAACGGAGGTGCTGGCCCTTCCCGCTCTTACTGGTCATCAAGGGAGCTGCTTCCCAGCCCAGGGGGCCGTCAACGAGCGAGAGGGCAGGAACGTGTTCCCAGCTAGACCTCTCACAGGGCAAGTGCCTGTGGTCACCAGCATGGACATTGTACCAATTATCCTCCCTCTGCTGACTGCACAATTCTCCCTCCGGGTCTGAGAAAGAAGAAAGATGGAGAGGTGACCGGGGATATGATGACTGCCCAGCTCTGACCCCATCTTTGTTCTTCTGCTCATTGGCAAATGGGAATGATCATCACCCTGAAAGCCAAAGGCTCTAACTTGTCTGCCCAGATAAGTGGGGCAGAGGTCACCGAGCTCCAGACCCAGAGAGGGCCATGGAGATGGTGGGGGAAACAGAAGCCCTGAGAGAGGAGTGTACCTGCCCGTGGACACAGTCGTGGCCAATCTAATAATGACCATCATTCTCATAACAGTAGCTAACGTTTATAGGATGTTTCCTATGCACTGCATTGCGTGCTTTGTATATTATCACCTCACTTGATCCTCATAAAGCCCCTGTCGTAGATCCCTTATTATTATTCCCATAATAGAAGGGCTCTTCTACCATCTCCTCTGCCAAAAAGACACCCACCATGCCTCTCTATTGCCATGAAGTGGAAAACCATCAAAGCCTTGGAATCTCAGGAAGCAGGAAAGGAGGCTCAGGGGTGAGACATCTATTGTGTCAGCTACCCTGGAGATGGCTGGACACTCTTGCATTAGAGCCGTTGTTTCTTTCTGTCTTTAAAGAGGACTTCACCCAGTAGAGTGTGGAGAGTTGGAAAATCAACTGGCCTCGTGAGCGCGTGGAAATAAATTAATTCCAGTATTCAAATTAAGCATCCCTGTTGGCCTCTGGTCTTTCAAAAGCCAACAACAGACTGCAACGACAATGGGACTTGAGCAATTATGATGAGAATATAAATGAACGTGATTTAAATACCAGAGGCATGATAATTTGGAGAATGGCTAAATAAACCTAATAATCTCATTCCTTCAATGTCCAATTATGGTGTTTTAATTAAAACCTCCTAAGGAAATGGGTGGCTAGTCATGGCTCACCTTAATTAACTTTATACCTAGTAACTAGTCTCAAATTAAAAAAAAAAAAAAGAAGTAGAAGGGGAAAGTTTCTTGTTTCCAAGGAGATACACCTATTTCATTTTTAATAATAACTGAGGAAGAGTTTGTTGAGAGGCTCTTAGGATCCAGCACTATTCTAGGTATTGGGGCACCGGAAAAAAATGTAAGACATGGCCCCTTATTACTAGAAGACAAGATTAATCTTCATGAAAATATATCTCACATTCAAAGGCAAAGGACAGATACATGTGAAATGGGTGGACAAACCAATGGGTTCAAAGATATTCAGAGGAAAGAGATAACTGACTCAAGAGGTCAAATATTTAGCTACTACCCTTGAGTTACAAATTGTAACTGGTAGAAACTTTCTCAGATTAAGGGATCAGAAAATTGACACACGGAAGACAAATCCTAGAGTTTAAACTCCAAAATAAGCCCTTTAGCTAAGGATGGAAAAAAATATTCAACTTGCAACTCACGTGAGCCTAATCATGGCCAAAGCAGAACCTTTTCTCCAATCTGCTGTATGAACTCATAAAGTCCACTGAGGGACCCTTCTAGTCCTAGGGCCCTAACTTCCTCTTAAAACAAGGAAAATTAACAGAGAAATCCTTTCAGCAAGAGCTAAAGGAAACCAAGCAGTCCTGTTGCATATCATAGAAAACTGTTAATAATAAATAAGAGTCTCCCACCCTTGTGAAAAATGCCCAGCTGTCTCCCCGGGAGAGGAAAATAAATGCCTCCGATTGAAGGGGACCGTTGACAGAGGGGATGAATTTTGCCAGAGTGAGCCACTAGCAAATTTCTGGGTTAGCTGCGGTGATAAGGAACCAGTAGGCCGGACTTCTGGGGAGAAGAGGCTGGGCTCCAGACAGCCAGATTTAATTCAAAGGCAGATATCAGGGACTTGGGCAGGCAGGGCCCTCACAGGCTGAGAGAGATAAAGCTCTTTCCTGTCTCTGGAGTCATGCGTTGGGTGAATTTTTCGATACCGTGTAGGGGCGCAGGGAGGTTTTTCTAAGGCTGCCTCAACAGGGGCCAGTGGTGATGAATACGCATAGGGATGGTTTAATTGCTGCCCCATGCCTTTCTTTCTCCTGAGCAGACGACTTCTATTTTTAAAGAGATGTCCATGCTCCTCCTTTCTTGACTGAAGTCCTCCTCCTGCGGGTTATGGGAGGAATAGCTTGGATGAGGAGGGACCCTGGTGGTTTTGCAGCTTTAAACAAGGGCCATCAGGCCTGTCCCAAACCGCCTCATTCGGATGCCTCGCTGGGCTCTGCCGTGGGGCAGGGCCTGCACCCTCAGAAGTGGGCTGCATCTCATGGTAGGGGGGTTGGTCGGTACATGAAAATAGCCCATTTCTTTGACCTCCTGTGCGTGCACAGGCTGTCTTGCTCCACGCTGCTTCCCCTGGCATCCTTTCATCACAGCCTCACCACCTACCTTGAACAAATCATGAAAGACGTAGTACTTTTGGGAGAGGGTGCTCCTCCTGAACCCCACTCATGAGGTCGGTTGTTCATTCGTTACAGATGTTCAATTCACCAGTTCTCCCCGCCATTGTACCTGACTTACTTTTCAGAACGTTGCCCTGCACAGCATCCTATTTTGATGCCTGGGAAAAGCATCTAAAAAATTCCCCCACGCATAGGGGCCCTAATACGTCACTCCCCTAAATTCATACTACTAGTGAGAGGGTGGAGATTAACAGCATATTCATGTCTGCAGTCTGTGGATTAAATTCTCGTGTCCTTAAAAGACACCTGGCCTCGTATGAAGAAGTTACAGCCCATCACTAGCAATGGGCTTTGATTGCTATAAACAGGGGATATGATAAAGGTCCTAGTCACCTATGTAACTATTAACCCACCTGTGAGATCCAGCTTTTTCAGAGGAGGGAGACCTGGGGCAGTAACATTTCCAGGACCCAGGAGGATCAGCCTCCCGGCCCTGGGTTTTGAGTCCTGACTGCTGCTGGGTAAGCAATGTCTCGGCGCTCCCTTGATGGGAAGGTGCTTTCGTGACGAAGCACCTTCGTGTTGGCATTCGTGTTGGTGCGCAGCTTTAAACTTTGTACCCACCCATAATAATGTGTTTTAACCTCCTCCCTAATTAGTTTTTCTCAATAGCTTTTGGATGACTCCTGCACTCTATAATTATTTCTTTCACTGGCACTTATGCCAATATTGTACCCTTTTCCTAATAATTACTGTAATTACAGTCACTATATTTGAGTTGGGTGTCTGTGTGATAAACGGTTTTATTATGCGTTTGATGGAAAGTGATTTCTATGTGGCGTCTATAGCAAATTGTTGAGGTACTGCTCTGAAACATGTTAAAATGTTTTTGGGTATTAAATGACTTGATAAAGTTGTAACATGACAGGAGAAAGCAGCAGAGCAGCCTTTAGAAGCCACTGGTTCCCAATTCCAGGACTGAGCTCCTGGATCTCAGGAATGCATCTTTGGGGAACTCCTCAACTGAATACTCTTTTTTTTTTTGAGGAAATCAAGAGATTAGCTTACTTCCTTGCCACCAGAAAAGGGAAGAATGGATGGGATTGGGCAATGTCAATGAAAAGTAAAAACAAACAAGCAAACAACATTTAGGACCCAAGGCAAAGGCGACATCCTCTGGGAAACTTTTCTCAGGTCACTCAGCCACCTCCCATCCTGGAGAGATGAGCTGCCTTCAGTCATGTGCAAGCACAGCTCTGTTTTCAGTACTACATGGGCACCTGTGCTTCTATTACAGTTCGATTACCCACAGATCAAACTCTCGTGTTTGCTCAGCATTTTGTGGGCCCACTAAACTATAATAATTAAGCTCCACTCATTAGCTCTTACCAAGTGCTGTGTATTATGCTAAGTGCTTTATATGCATTATTTCACTTAATCCTCCCACCCATCCCTGGAGTTATGGACTACGATTTTTTCTATTTTGCAGACATGCAGTAACTTACCAAAGTCACACACCATTAAGGGACAGAGCTAAGATTTCCAGCCAAGCAGGCTGACCTCATAGCCTCTATTAGCCTGACTCTCAATTTCTAGGAGCAAATGGGCGATAGGAACGGGTTTGGCCAATGCTAAAGTACCTAGTGGACCCTGAGGCTTAACAGGAAGTGATTCATGAGTTCCTTGAGCATTTTCCTTTACCAGATGGCAAGGGCTTCTTTTCTGGAACACGTGGAGGCACCTTAGAGTTCTTTAAGTGACTGGCGAATGCCGGGGCAACCTGCGAGGCTCCACGCCGAGCTCTGGGGTGTGTGTTCAAGGCCAAGGTGATGTTAAGGAGAGCTCACAGGTGGGCGAGTCACAGGACAGGAGGGGAGGGGAGTGGTGGGGTCACCTCACCTGGGCACACGTACTCCTTCTTCTGCACGTCCGCCACGTTGAAGCCCCTCAGGTGCACAGGAGCCATGCAGAGAGTGAACTGGCCAATGGTCCGCCGCTGTCGCAGCCAATCCGAGAGCCAGGCCAGGTGACAGTCGCAGTACAGGTGGTTGGAGTGGAGGCGCCTGGGAGAGGGAGGGACAGAGGGAAGATGCCGTCACAGCAGGAAGTGGGGAGGGTGCCATTGTCTGCATAGAGTGGGCTGAACCTCCGTGCCCTTTGCCCAGTGTGACAGTCCTTGGGAGCCCGGGGGAGCACACTGTCCTCTGCACCGCGGAATCACCACGGGAGCCTCAACCCTGTTATTGCCAAGCCACCAATGACAGTCATCTTCTCGTGCCGCCCACATCCAATGGAGGCCTCCAGGCTTCTGAGCAATTCCCATCTTTTAATAGTGTTTCCACCCTTTTCTTTCCCACTCAGGAAAGCCTCAACACATAGAAGAGGGAGGGGGACATTATTACAGCGATGATCCTGATTCAGGTCAAACTTCCAAAAGCGTGACTCAGGTGTAGCTTTCCGTACTTTAGCTAGCCCTGGTTACAGATGCTTTACAACAGCTTCTTAATCTCCACGCTCCAGTCTGTGGTGAACTGTGGCAGAGATCTGCTGTTGTCTTTTCTCTCCTTCCTTCGTTTTCTCTCTAAGTGTCCCTTTAATGGACCCCCTGTGTGTCATGCTGGTGAGCCTAAAACCAATACCGCTGTGTGTACTAGCTAGGGTAAGCAGGGAACAGAGAGAAGGGTACTTTCTGAAGGATGCACCTTCTCTTCATCCTCCTATTTAAATAAGGTGTTTACAGACTCTTGTAATCCACAGCACTTTCTCCAGAGTGCCCTTCATAGCCTTCCCAAGTTCAAGTCCACCTGGTGTATTTGCTATTCTGACTGGTTCGGTGCCTCTGAAAAGGCTTTTTATCCATCTTCAGGACTCTTGGGCTTTCTCCCTCTAGTAGCTGTGGTTCCAGATCAGCTTCTCACCCTGGAGTGAATAAGATTCCTGAGAGGGATCTTCAGGTTCCACGTCTGAGGGGAGCCTCATCTGGTTAAGTTGAATTTCCTTTCCACTGTCTGGAGGGCAACCTAAGGATACCCAGGGGATCCTAAAGGTTCTTCCCCAAGGTTTCTGCATCAGGGGTTTCCAACTTCCACAGTCCCTACAAACTTAGATCATTAGCAGTGGCGGTAGGTGAGTTTTAGTCACCACAGCTTATCATATACTTGGCTTTCTGATGCAAATTTCAACTGCCCCATTCTGTACCTGCTCATCAGTCAGCAGTATCTTGGGACTTTCAAGTACTCTGTGTCATGCCAGTTAATACTGAGTGGCAGACCGAAGCAGTGGCTCAGGCTACATCCATGTCTGAAATGGAGACAGCTGAAGGGCTCTTGACCACACTCCACTTAGTGTAAGGTCGACATTGCTAAACACTGGCCAAGTGTAGCTCACCTGCGCTGCCTGCCAGCAGAGTCTCCCTGGCCCTGCACGGGTGCAAACCTCGGGCAGGCCAGGGCCACCAGGGACCTTGGCAGACTCAGGGTGGGGGTCCCAGATCCCATAACATCAGACTGACTAAACGAACCCATATCCCACCTAGAATGTCATTTTTTTCCGCTGAAAAATATTTGAAAAGATTTTTTACGATTTTGTTGAAACATGATTAATTTGGATGTTATAATTTTCTTTTTGTATTTCAGAGCCAATACTTAAAAGTCAAAGACAACTGCATATACCCCCGGGACCAAGATACTGCGCCTGTAATGGGCCCCAAGCAATGCTCGCCTCTGAACATCAAAGCTCAGGCCCCGATGCTGTGGAAACAAGCCTGGCTCCCTCTTAGTCTGGCACTCCAGGAAGAGGTACGACAGGTGGGAAGCGGGAGGGAAGGCAAAATCCTAACCTGGAGGGAAGGACCTCAGTTCTAAGAAGGAAGGCAAGACCTCTGTGTATTCAACAAAGATGACCACTTTGTGCCAAGGATGGAGGGGGGCCTGGTGTTGGACTTGGAGCTGGTTACTCTTTCCCAGAGAATATGAAGGGGAGGAGGGAATTCCTTTTCTGCATTGGGACTTTTTGGGAAATTGCAGCATGAGGGAAAATGATCTGTCTCCTGACCCATCAGTGAGCTGCTGAGAGACAGAGAGAGAGAGAGGGAGAGAGAGATGATTGCGCGGCCAGGAATACACCACCAGATATAAAGGCTGTCTAGGAAAAAAGTGACAGTGGGTCAGTTCTTAGTGACAAGGCAGAGCAGAGGTAGGCTGCAGTGGCATGCCCAGGTTGAGGTGCCAGAATTTTCTGTGTGCCTTTTAATGAGTTTGGCTTTTATTAGGAAAGGCAGTTACCCTCTTTGGCACTGAGGTATGGAAGCTAAGGAAACAAGGCGGATCAATGCAAACAAATTCCCATCAGTTCCAATCAGAGGTAAGAGACCAATGGAACAACAAAAATGAGGTTTAGGTAAGTCAGATCCTTACTGAGCTGATTAATTTCTGGGATAATCAAAATGTCAGCGGTTTCCCTTTTGGAAGTTTATATTAGGTTGGTTGTTCCTTAATCCCCACTGGCCAGCCCCAAGCTACCTCCTTTTTTTTTTTTTCCTTTGCGGAGCACAGGCTCCGGACACACAGGCTCAGCGGCCATGAGCTCACAGGCCCAGCCGCTCCGCGGCATGTGGGATCCTCCCGGACCGGGGCACGAACCCGTGTCTCCTGCATTGGCAGGCGGACTCGCAACCACTGCGCCACCAGGGAAGCCCAAGCTACCTCCTTTTTAAACCTTGCTACAGATGGCCCTTATCCCTTTGTCCATTTCTGTAGGAATTTCTCCTCTCGTAAGTACGACCATCGAAAAGAGGTGACCCAAACTGCGTTTGAATCCATGTGAAGGCTCTTGTCAAAAGCCCAGGACAGTGGACAGGCTCAGATCTCCCCCTCTTGGAATTTTACGCAGCAGAAGGGCTGGAGAGCCGAGCTGGGCAGAGTCTTTCAAGCTGCCTTTTACATCATGTTCCGTAGATCAAATTGAGCAATGTTATCCCAAATACGAACGTTAAAAGAAAAAGAATCTTGATGATCTTGAAACTTGAGCCCAGACACTGCCAGAAGTATTTCTAGTTTTCTTGAGTGAGAAGAGACATTATCTTAATTACTTTCAATAACTTTTGTGATGGCAATGACACAAGGAGGGTGGCCTCCAGTGGCCTTTCAGCCATGTGGAAGCTCCGGTCTCCCCTTCCTCAGCTCACCTGATGCTCTTCTGCTTTTGTTCCTACTGAATGGGACAAGCTCAGGTTCTGATGTCATAGTGCCAGCATCTGACATAGGCTCTGTGCTTTTCGACTTTGACCTTGGGCAGCAATCTAATCCTGGGCCTCAGTGTTATCATCTATAAAGTGGGGATATTAATGGTGCCTCCTTGCTTGGGCCATTGTGAGGATTGAAATGATTCATGGAAAATGCTAAGCGCAAGGCCTAGGACACCGTGAACTACCGAAGAAATGTTTGCTCTTATTATTTTTACTGTGAGGAGACTAGCTCCAGACTTCAGGCTCTTCCCAACCCAAGGCCCTGCCTGTACAAGGCTGTCATTTCTTAGCCACCAAAGCATCAAGGCGGCTGGGTGGTTCCTGTCAGTTGTTCTGTGGTCTTTTGCAGACAGAAACACCATATTTCATGTTGGCGAAACCACTTTTACAGAAGATAAGGTGAATGAATACAAATGCCAATTTGTAAAAGGTGCCTTTTAGCCACAGATGCTAAATTAAATTTCCAGCAAATCCTTTTAGAGAGGGTCAGCATTCATTTTCTATAAAATGTGGCTTTCTGAATTCAATATAAAAGCTTTCCTTCAGAAATCCCATTTACGGCTTCCTTCCTCTCTCCTCTTCCCCCCTTTCTCCACCACCAGCGCTCCCCCCTCACCACCGCACTTTAATTACAGTGAAGGGGGATTAGTCAGCTCAAGTCTCTGGGGAATTCTCTACAGAGCCATCTCTGAAATTAAACTAAAGAGAAAATGGCAGCAGGCAGGGAGCAAAGAGAACAGACGAGATTGATGGATTGATCTGAACTCATCAGATGAGTGCTCAGGACCACAGGGAAGTGTGACAGCAGAAACAAGGAGAAAAAACTCTCCTACCCTCTTCCCCCACCCTTACAACAACCCAACAAAGATCCAGGCCTCACCATCTTCCCTGCCTCCCGTGGACCCCTCCCTGCTCTCTTATTGATGCTTTTCAACTGAAAATAACAGGAGGGGAGGTAGAAATCACAAAGCAGCCGCCCACAGGAGCTGGACTGCTGGTTGCGCAGGTGAGAGCCGTACTTCTTCTATTCAACCTACTCGCCTGGGGAGATGCGGGCCCAGCACCCTGAGGACCCAGTGATTTCTCCTGCACCATTCCCTTTAATCAATCAATCTATCTATCTATCTATCTATCTACCTAGGCAGCACCGTGCAGCATGTAGGATGTGGGATCTTAGTTCCCCGGCCTGGGATCGAACCCGTGCCCCCTGCATTGGGAGTGTGGAGTTTTAACCACTGGACTGCCTGGGAAGTCCCACCACCCTCTTTTAAAAGGAAAGGAAGCAGATAGATTTTCTTGGCTGAATTCTGCTACCCCATGAGGGATCAGAGGAAGAAATGGGCACAATGATGGAAGCTGAGCTTGGGTCCTCCTTCTATATACTAACTAGTATTTGTTGTGTGGACACCATGACCAGGCACTTTACATGTTAGTACATGTCATTTCCACCATAACTTTGAGGCAAGCACTTATGAATTCACTATCTATGAAGAACAGAGAGATGAAGCAACTTGCCCAGAGTAAGTGGCGGAGCTCGTATTTAACCTCAGGTCTGTCTGACTCCCAACTCTGTGTCCCTCTGAGGGTTCTCTGTATCATCTCCTCATCAATGCTTCATTGATCTTTGCTTCATTCTTACCTGAGATAAGGTCACCTTCTCACTAACGCAGGGGTCTCAAACCTTATAAGTATTGAGATCTCCTGGAGGGCTTGTTAGAAACAGATGGCTGGGTCCACCCCCGAGATTCTGATTCCATGGGTCTGAGGTGGGACCTGCAATTTTGCTTTTCAACAAGTTCCAGGTGATGCTGACACTACTGGTCTAGGGACCCCCACTTTGGGAACCACTGCTCTAAGGATTTTCACATCGGCCCGTGAGCCATGGCCGCTGAGCCTGCGCGTCCAGAGCCTGTGCTCCGCAACGGGAGAGGCCACAACAGTGAGAGGCCCACGTACCGCAAATAAAATAAAATAAAATAAAACAAGTGCCCAGGTTCTCTGCTCTCAGAACTCTTCCATTCCCAGTGCTAAAATGCTACTGCCCTGGGGTGGAAGGATGTCCTGATCAGAGTAGGGAGATGGGGATGTGGGCCGAGTACCTGTCTCTCTTCTGGGGGCCCATCTCACCTTTCCTTAATCACTGCAGCTCTGGAATTTCAATCTGGAGCCAAAGCCACCTCTGTGCCTAATAAGGAGGTAGCTGAGATGCCCAGCCTCCCTTCAGATGTCTCCTAAGACTCCCTGGACTGTGGCCTGATGTCTGGAGGGAGGGCAGAGCAGAGCTTGGGGGGAACGGAGGTGCTGGCCCTTCCCGCTCTTACTGGTCATCAAGGGAGCTGCTTCCCAGCCCAGGGGGCCGTCAACGCGCGAGAGGGCAGGAATGTGTTCCCAGCTAGACCTCTCACAGGGCAAGTGCCTGTGGTCACCAGCATGGACATTGTACCAATTATCCTCCCTCTGCTGACTGCACAATTCTCCCTCCGGGTCTGAGAAAGAAGAAAGATGGAGAGGTGACCGGGGATATGATGACTGCCCAGCTCTGACCCCATCTTTGTTCTTCTGCTCATTGGCAAATGGGAATGATCATCACCCTGAAAGCCAAAGGCTCTAACTTGTCTGCCCAGATAAGTGGGGCAGAGGTCACCGAGCTCCAGACCCAGAGAGGGCCATGGAGATGGTGGGGGAAACAGAAGCCCTGAGAGAGGAGTGTACCTGCCCGTGGACACAGTCGTGGCCAATCTAATAATGACCATCATTCTCATAACAGTAGCTAACGTTTATAGGATGTTTCCTATGCACTGCATTGCGTGCTTTGTATATTATCACCTCACTTGATCCTCATAAAACCCCTGTCGTAGATCCCTTATTATTATTCCCATAATAGAAGGGCTCTTCTACCATCTCCTCTGCCAAAAAGACACCCACCATGCCTCTCTATTGCCATGAAGTGGAAAACCATCAAAGCCTTGGAATCTCAGGAAGCAGGAAAGGAGGCTCAGGGGTGAGACATCTATTGTGTCAGCTACCCTGGAGATGGCTGGACACTCTTGCATTAGAGCCGTTGTTTCTTTCTGTCTTTAAAGAGGACTTCACCCAGTAGAGTGTGGAGAGTTGGAAAATCAACTGGCCTCGTGAGCGCGTGGAAATAAATTAATTCCAGTATTCAAATTAAGCATCCCTGTTGGCCTCTGGTCTTTCAAAAGCCAACAACAGACTGCAACGACAATGGGACTTGAGCAATTATGATGAGAATATAAATGAACGTGATTTAAATACCAGAGGCATGATAATTTGGAGAATGGCTAAATAAACCTAATAATCTCATTCCTTCAATGTCCAATTATGGTGTTTTAATTAAAACCTCCTAAGGAAATGGGTGGCTAGTCATGGCTCACCTTAATTAACTTTATACCTAGTAACTAGTCTCAAATTAAAAAAAAAAAAAAGAAGTAGAAGGGGAAAGTTTCTTGTTTCCAAGGAGATACACCTATTTCATTTTTAATAATAACTGAGGAAGAGTTTGTTGAGAGGCTCTTAGGATCCAGCACTATTCTAGGTATTGGGGCACCGGAAAAAAATGTAAGACATGGCCCCTTATTACTAGAAGACAAGATTAATCTTCATGAAAATATATCTCACATTCAAAGGCAAAGGACAGATACATGTGAAATGGGTGGACAAACCAATGGGTTCAAAGATATTCAGAGGAAAGAGATA